CTTCTCTCATTAACTCTACTCAGACCATCACACCCTGACTGTGGTCTGATACAATTACATTTCCTTTATTCAGAATGGTAGGGTTATATAAACAATAGTATATAGTGAAATTTGGATGCATTCTACCACTAAGTTACTTGAAAAGCTAAAAATAACTTTTAAGGGATGTGTCAACAAGGATTGCACTGATTTATCATTCCATTTTACTTTTACAAATAAATCTGTTTGCTTTTTTTAAAAAAATGATTAAAAATTGAAAGCAGACAATGCTAACCAGAAGTTTGATAAAATCTACATGGATTTAATTTTAATGGGACATTTTCATATACCGGTAGTTTGAAAAAATAAGGACAAATCTTATAGGCTTTAGACGTGCTTGCTATACTATGTTTACCTTTTATTTTTCACTGTTTAATTTATATTAAGTCACCAGGATTTAGACAATGATACTGCAGACACCACTTAAGCATTACAGCTTTTCCCCCTTTCTGTGAATTCTGCAATTCCCAGGGTGGGTATATGATTTAAAGCTGATTAGGAGCAGAATATACCCACTGCTACCCAGCTTACATGTTGTGGCTTTGGGTTAGCATTTCATGAAAAAAATCAAATGATGCAGGATAATTCACAACAATTTTAGTTTGTCACCTTCAAGAAAAGACTGACTCTACATTAGGGCTTTTGAAGTGTGACAACCAAAACTGAAAGGGAACTGCCTTTCAAAAACTGATAGGTCCTGGAGGCAACCACCTGGAATGCAAGAACAAAGAAAGAACCAGGGAAACTGAGTCAGGTCACCAAGGTGCACTGAGGAAGCCAACATTAAATATTAGTTGACAGTTGCTGTCATGAAATCTACAGGACAATAGAGAGAAGGAAAGATAATGGAACACATTTAGTAATGACCTCAACAAGAGAGAAACAGCAAGAATTGAATGAAATGGGAATAATCTTAGAGGAACTAACGAGACACAGAAGATGAAGTGTTAATTAACTTGAGATGAGCTAAACAAGGCTTTTGTAAATGTAATTTGCTATGAATATTTCTAACCATTATTTTGGTATGTTTCAAACAAAATTAGTGTATGTCCCATGAGTTCTGTTTATTACAGTTTATCATGGACTGGTACACAAGAATTTATTTGATACAATAAATCAGGGGGCGCCAGTACCCACTTTGGAACCCGCGAAATATTCTTTATTATTATTATTATTTTCTTAAAAGCTTTCCTCCAAGTCCTGCTTTCCTCCATGTCCTATTATCTTTCGGCCCGCACAAGTTTTTCATAAAATATTACAGCCCACCTTTCATTTTGAGCTGTGCACGCCTGCATTAAATGATTCACTTAGTGGGAATTTAAATCAATTATACACCATGCAATGACTTATATACAGCACACAGTACATTCAAATAATCCAGATAGAAGGATGCAGAAAATTTAGTAAGTTTAGATTCAAAGAAATGAGTGTATTAGGGCTACTTTTCCATGGTCCCAGCTATGATATTATTATTGCAGGTGGCATAGCCGGCAGGGGGTGCGGGCTGGTGGCAACAGGTGGCACAGATTTCCCAGAAGAAAATATTTTCAAAAAGAATAATATTATCCAAATTTATCCCTAATTATGAATAGGGATTTGGCACGGGGCTCTGGGGTATTTTTGCTTAGACATGAGTTGGTAAAATTTTGTACTGCTCTGAGCTACACATTTTTTAATCAATTAAAGATAAAAATACAAAAAAAATTATAAATTCTATCAGCTATATTGCTGGTACATGCATTTCTAATGCCTAGTTAATTAGATGGGTAAGTGACAATACTAAACACATTATTTAAAACGCTTATGCCCCCTCAACTCTCTCTTCCCCCTTTATCAGATAATGAATAATAATCTTGATCCTTGGGTATGTATTATATTTTAAGTCAATGTAGCGATTTAACTGCACATTAATGTTGTTAATAATTGAAGCATGTGGTAAAACAGAACACCATGTGACTAATTTGGACATAAAGAACAGATAACAAATAAACTAGCAAAGAGACAGAATAAACTTAGTACCAATATCTGCAGATTCAGCAATGCAAACAAATTGATATAAAATTATTTTTTAAAAATTTTTGCTGGAGCAGAGCTAACAAAAATTTTCTGGAGCGGGGCTCAGCCCAAAAAACCTGCCCCTAATCCGTGCTCGTGAACACTGTTGGTCTGTCAAGATAGGGCTTTAATCACTGTTTCTACAGGCCATTATAAAAATTAATAACTTCCCATGTAACCCCAACAGTAGGAATTTAATTGTGATTAAAAATGAAAATGTATAATATAGAGCTTGAATTTAATTAACATATGGGTTTTAATAGCATAATGATAATGCAAAAAAAAAAATGAGTAAGGACTACTGTGGAGAGTGTTATTAATCTGTAATCAGACAATTTTCTTATTAATGCAAGCCTTGTAAGAATCATTACATAAACAGTTGAGTGCTCAGATTAGTCAGATACAACCCACTGAAACTGACAAAGGTACCGGGTATGTTGTAAGTGGTGGTAATGGAGAAGTAAGTTAATTATGGTAAAAAAAAGTTAAATTTATGTATTGGAATAGAGTGGCATTGGAAAAAAATAATATTTTTTGAATAACTCTTATTTATCTATTTATATATATGTTAACTGTTAACTTTACAATGATAAGCTTAACAACTAATGATAATCTTTTCTTAAATGACTTAATGTTCTATTGATGTTATGGAAAGGACGTATTTTAAAACTATTTTTTTCATGTTTTAATTTCTCTATAATATACGGTACTCAATAATTTTAGAACATATCCAGGATATCATTTCATTATTTTATAGGATCAACAAGAAGTAAATGTTATTTACAAGCCTTAGCCTTACGAGTAAACTACTTGCAAATGAAAAAGAACTTGGAAACATTTTCAAAACTCTTTCAAATGTTAACAACTTTACAAATATTCAAGTCATATGTTAAGAATTCTTTTACAATTTAACAATTATAATGTGGACATAACATTTTAACAGTCTTCAGTATGCCCCACGACAAGTATACCATTCTTTTTGTGTGGTGACTTGTTTTGATCTTGAACGTACCATACTTGTAGTGAAGTAATTTACAGTACTGATGGGCATCTCGAACATCTCCATGCATAAAAGATATAATATGGAAAAGGTATGGGAAGCAACACAAATCATAAACTTTTCCAAAGATGGTAATCATTAAAGGGAGGATTTTGAGAGACTCATCTTATGTTAAAATCAGAAGTAAATAGGATAAATAGAACAATGTCAACTATTTGGGTTAATGAATAAGTCTCAAAAGCAAATAAAAATGTGAAAAATCTATTTATTTATCAGTAAATAAAAGTTTACTCGCACTCAAAATGAAGAATATGGATAATTTTAAGGAAAGTGTTAGCAGTGGCATGCCTTGACTAAAAGCAGCCTTGGGGCAAACTACCAAAAGTGCACCCCTCCAAACATTGATTTATAAAATGTTAGGCCACCACATGGTTTGATGCCTCATCACCCCTGGGTACACCAATGAGTGGTGTCAAAATTTCAACTGCCTAGTTGAGTGGTCCCTGCAACACCTGTGATTGCAGGGTGGTCTAAGATAAATAAGGCCCCAAGGTTGTGATGTGGGGAAAAATTTAAATATCCCCTTATATGAAGGGGCAAAAAACAGAAAAGTGGGCCTCCAAAAGTTACACATGCGAAATAATTCATGATAAATTAAGGTAAAATTATTAAATTATTTTCTAACTTTGTTTTGGCTACAATTTTATAACACTTGTACTTCTATTTTTTTTTATTGGATGACTCTTATTGGCTTTGTATCTAAAAGCTAAATAAATAAGTTCAATATATCCATTACCTGACAAGCATTGTAGAGGATCTGATGTTCGTACTTTTTTACATTCAAAATATTCTGGAACATTTCATATAATTGTTCCTTGCTAAGAATCAACTCTGATGCTGCTGTAGAAATTCTTTGAGGCTGTTTTCGAGGATCTTCATCACCACGATATATTGCATCATATTTTGCCATCCAAGAGCTTAGAACCGTTTCCTTACTAAGACCATCTATTTCAGGTAAACTCCTCACTCGTTTTTCGATATTATTTTTAAACACTTCTCTAAAATCATTGGCAGAGCAACCTCCACTGCGAACCATATTTGCAACTCTATCACTTTTCAAAAAAACTTCATAATAGCTTTGAACAGCATTTGTAAACGCCTCATCAGCTACAATGTGTGTTTCACCATTTAAAAACGCATGAAACCGTTCTTTAATTGTTTGTAGTTGAGCCTTGGTTACTTTAGTTTGCCTCCGAGCCATGTCTGTAGGTTGTTTCGCATTAAAAGGATATGCAATGCATCGCATTACAAAAACATATAACTGAAGTCTCCTTCTACGCTCTTCTTCTTCTCTTTCACTTTTGTCAAATTCCTCTATTTTTTCCCTGTCACTTACTAAAGATGGACTAGGACTTGACGGCCTGATACTGTTTGAACGGGAATGTCCACCAACAACACTCAGGTTATCTCCGCTAGCAGACAAACTTCTTTGCTCTGCACTCGGTAGGCTGAGCACATCTGAGTTATTTTCATCCCCGTCCTCAATAGTGCCATTATCGGATTCTTCTTCACTAGAAGAGGGGTCAAGCATGTTAGTAGATTAGTGGAATAAACGAGCCAACGCTAGGTAGTCAAAGAAAATCATGCAAAAAGTTTATTATTTAACAAAACATCGGACATTGATATGTGATATTATTAGCTTCCGCGCATGCGCTCTCCTCAAAATAAGTACGGAAGTTTATTAAAAAATTATTTTTATTTATGGCATTTATTGCTTTATTTTAATATTTCTATGCATTTTGAACTTAAATTTAATTTAAGAAAGTAGAGACTATAAAATTATATTAAAACTTTTTATTTTTTAATTCACGCGAGAAAAACCGTGCTAACCGTCCTTGAAGACCCCATTAATGTTCAATATTATGGCCGCCATAGTGGATTAGAAAGTAATCGCAAAATAATATATTTTCATTATATTTTTAATTTTGCATCAATGGATTGTAATATTTTTCCTTGGAAGTTATATTTATGACAATATTCTTTTGTTTTTAAGTGTGGAATACTGATCACTGCTGACAATTTGGCATATAAATGAATTTGAGTTGTGTAAACAAACGACGATTACGATCGTTTGTTTTGTTTACGTCGGTTGTTTAGATTGTTTGGAAGAAATTTAGTCGCAAAATTAAGGCCAAAATTGATAATCTTTACTTTAACTGTGGATACTATCGAATGGATTAACCATTGTCTACTTTTATAATCGGTGAGTATGTGTGTTAGTGATAATCTAATCTAGAAATTATATGACAATTCAGTGTATTGCAACTGGAGCTTGCTGCAAATTGCAAGCCACAGCTGAAACTTCCTTCAAGCGTTAAAAAACAAAGTCACTGTCACTCCAGGCTTTTGCTTGCCTATTTAAATGTGTCATTTGTGTAAACTGTAAAGTAAGAGAGTTTTCGATTGAAAAAACTGCCATACAGTTTTATTTTGTATAAATTAATTTATCAGCATGAGTAAATAAGTATAGCCTTATCAAGAATTGCTGTTTTTAGGGAAATGGCTTAGCTTAGCAGACACACTTCTGTTTCAGTCACAGGCATATAAAGCATAGTATTATAGGAATAAGAAAAAAATTAGATGTCCTAGGCCCAGGCTTAACTGACAGGACACATATGCTCGCAGACGATATGGTTATATTGAGTATGGCATGGCCATGGGCGGTAAATGTGCAGTTAAAGTTAAAGGCATGGGTTTTGCCAAGAGTTGTCTCACCCGAATCGCAGTTGCATCACTTTAGGGAATCCCAACACTGGACTTAGGGTGACTGCTATTATTTGATTGCTTAAAAACGAAGTAACCCTATGCTATTCATTTCTATAATTATAATGTTGAAATTTACGGGACATTTCACATTTCTAGGGCCGGCAGACCCCTTCACAGAACCCCTACCCCCCTCTTTCAACTTTCAAGACAAAAGTTAAAAGATGAGAATAGAAAGATCAAGTAAATACTTAAATACAGGGCTAAGTTTCAAAATCTTTTGAAAAATTAACTATGGTTGATAGTTGACCCGGGGAACTTCCATAAAAGCTATACAGTGGATGTGGACGTGGAAGACATCGACAGCCCTGCCATTAACTGCATTTTAGACCATGGTCATGTTCTACCTATCTGGGTTCATGATTCTTGAAGTGGTCAGCTAAAATGACAACCTTGCTATGTTTGGCTATTGTTTGCAGGTGCCACAGATTTGCTGTTATTGTTTTTGTAGGCTATTGCTTATTGCACTTTTTGTGAATTAAATTGGGCCTAATGATTAATCAATTATTAATGATTGCATTGTACGTATGGCCTATTGTTATTCAGACTGAAAAAAATCAGTTCAAGACTTTTCAACACTTTACTTCTGAACAATTGACAGCCATAGTATTTTGTGAATCTTCCATTTTATATTAGTTATTAGGTTGTTGGTGTTATTTTGCTATAATATTTGTACAGCTGCACTTAAATGATGTCGCTCAGTGGGGCAGCAGGGTCACTTATTTGTGATTATGTCAAGGTGTCTTAAATTGTGATGATTGGATGAAGGGTGGTCCATTTATGAATAGCCCCTTATTTTTATACAGTAACAAAGTCGTAAAATTTCAGCCTTGGCCTTACATTGTTAATGAGACATCAGACATGCAAAGTTCTAAACTTTGGGGCCTAAAATGACTGAACACTAAAACAATTAGCCCTGGTCATAAAAAATGTAAATTCTCATTATTATCTTTGTTTATGTAGCTAAATCTGCCTCCTCCAAACTAGTGGGAGCGTAGGTCTCTCACATTAATGAAAGGGAGATTACGGTACTATCATTATTCTCATATTAAGTTACAGCTACATCAGACTTTTACAAAATGCAACCTCAAAAAAATAGGTCATCCAGCTACTTATGTTCCACAAACTTTTGTTAAACCCACATTTGTAAATTTTGCAGCAGAGATCCTGATTTTTACACAAAAGCCTTCAATTAGAGTTTAGATTTTTTTTTTTAATGGATTGGTCTAAGCAAGGGTTTGGCAACCCCTTTATGGTTAGGAGACATTGTTATTAATTATAACTGCTAACAAAATATTTTGGGAATAGGAGGCACAGAAACATTCATTAACTGTTTTTATAAATCAGGAAAAAAAAGAAAGCTGTATCATACTCTGTCATTTGCTTGTCTGCTGGTTGTTGACCACTGGTTTAGTATGTTAGGAAATTACTGAAATTTATTATGGACTGACTATTCTTATATATTTTATTAATAATTATCTATGGATTTTCTTAAATTAAGGCCCGTGGTAAATAATTATTTCCACATTATGACCTCACAACACAATAAATTACAATTAATCTAAATTTATTTATAAGTTTATTGAAGATCAACTACTTAAGCTCAAATCACCATTAGAGTAAATATACTTAAATTTAAAATTAAAAAATTGGGTAACGACAGATTGTGAGATGAAGTCCTGTTAAGTTGATATTGAAAAACAACCTAGACTTATTTCAAAGTTGCTGTGATGTACAATGAGAGAACACAAGGAAACATTTTCCATTCATTGAACCTATCTTAAACCATACAGCACTATAATTCAAATTAAGATATTTTGTTTAAATTTCAGAAGTGTGTATTCTGCAATGCTGAAAAACATTTATTTTAAAATAGTGGATGCAGCCATTCCACAACCAATGGTGGTACCCTCGCGATGAGTGTCATTTTGCGAGTTGGTGCTGTTAAGTCCAGTGGAGGCCAAGAGTTACACTATGGTAGTGGAGATGAAGCCTCATCATCTTATACTGAGTAAATACACATGGTTTTAAATAAAATTCTTAAAACAAATAAAATTTATATATATCTATATATATATATAGTAAAATTAAGACAAGACTATTACTTAGTAGAAGAATTGCTTCATTTGATGCCTATTATATGGTTTACATATTATATTGTATCATATTCTTAATATGGAACAAGCTTCTTATCTATGTAGAAATATGTTGAATTTGTATATCGGCATTGTTTCAAGTGTTTTGACAAAAGTCTTGACACTTTAATTGGTATTTTACCTAAAATGTGTAACTGTAGGAATGATGTTTAAAATAGACCAATGACCAATGCATTGATTTATCTTCTACATAGTGCTGATGTGCTTGATATTCCACTGCCTGAACACACTTACCAGAGACCTCTTCCTCCTTCCAGCACTCAGTCTCTCAATAGCTGTGGCTATTTTGGACTGCCCTATCAGGTATTGTTTATACAATATATATTTTGTAAAATTTGTTTTGTAATTCTTATCAATATACTGAACCAATTTATTATATATGTAATTATAGAAGAAGGGCTCTTACTTCCACATGAAAAAAAATTATAATAAGTGCATTCATACAACATATTTGTTTGATCATAATAAATTACAAGTTTTTACCACTCTCAGTATGTAATTACTATTGTTGCTTCTGGGACTTGTGAAAGAAAGAAGACTTAACATTGAAATGATATTATGGCAGTCAGATCCTGTTCCAGGCGCATAGAAAGATTAAGAGATTTTAGTCTTGTTACAGTTCCGGTGGTTTGGGAAATCATAGTTTATTTAGCTCTTAGCAACAAAAGAGTTGCTGATTACTGCATCACTTTGTGCACATGTCACAATTCTAAGCCAGACAAATCAAGAAATTAATATATAAATATTGGATTATACTTTTGCTAATTTTGTATGTAAAAGAAATTGGATCCTCTTCCATCATATATTTATTTTTGTGAAGGAAACAATCTTTCTCATTGGATTTAAATAGTAAAATAAATCAATCCAGGCTAGGTTTAAAAAGAGGATTTAATATTCAATTTATCTTTTTTGATTAATAAATGGTCTTTTTCCTTCCTTATAAAGAATGAAACTGAATTTTTTCAGGATCATAATTATGGAATGCCTCCACCCCCATCACCACCAAGGCCAGCCTCACCTAGGCCTCCCTCACCCTTGCAAGTTAATGGAGTGGTGCAAATGGAAGAAGAGGTTAAAACAACTCCACTTGTGTCTGTAGCAGAGGAAGTTGTTGAAGACAGTGTTACAAGGTGTATCTGTGGCTATCTTCATGACGATGGGTATATGATTTGTTGTGATAAATGCAGGTATGACATTTTTGTGAGAAGAGTCTCATTCTTTTCATTATAAAAAAAGTAAATTAATAATGTACCTTGAATAATGCAACATTTTGCTTGCTATATGCAGGGTTAATGCTACTTTGAAGGGAATTGCAGACCTGCCAACCCTTCTGATTTTGTCGTAATTATATGGATTTTTTACCCCTCATTCCGACAAACCCCTTAAAATTCCAATTTTTCGAACTTTATAATTTTTCACCCTTCATAAAAATCCGAAAGCGACCAAAAAAAAAAAAAATCGGGTACGACAGGAAGTGTTGCATTTGTTTTTATGAAGTGTCTACATGTCCAGCGACCGGACGAATAAGTGAATAAATTCTCGAGATATTCGTCCGGCTAGTGTTTATTCGACTAAGTCCCATGACCACTGTAACAGAGTTGCTCGAGATATTTGTATGTCAACCTTGTCATGTGTCCGCTAATTGTCGATCAGAGTTTATGTATGGTACTTCATTTCAACAAATTCAAGATAGTCTGGGCAATTACACAAAAAAGGAATATGTTCACTTATAAAAAGGAATACTAGAACTATATATAATGAACAGTTGGTTAAAAGGTGACATTTTTTTTTACAAAGCGTGACATGCCCGCCGGATGAATATCTCCCGCACTATTTCTCCGGTCGCCTGGCGCGCCAAAAAATAATTCAGACTTTTTGTTTTGTTTTTGTTAAATCTTTTCTTAATTAAATGGTTAAATCTACTCAAAGTGATGGGTACAATGATATTAATAAACATTGAAGGAAATATTTCTCTATCCCTAGCCAACTCTGATAGTTTTAATTTTAATGCCAGAGTCAAAGGAAGAAATGTTTCCAGACTTACAGAATGCTAGAAGATTGTAAAGAAAAATTACAATGAAACAAGGGCAAGCATGAAAGCTTATATTTTTCTAACTTGCTTGTAACTAAAATCAACTGCAATGTTAACCTTCAGTTGGTCCAAAGAGCTGTTGGACGGGTGCAAAAAGGACACTATCTCAAGGGATATGCTGGAATACTGAACTCTTACTAAGAGTCTTAGCAGCCTGTGTGTGTGTACTTATGTAAATAAAATGGATCTTCTGTTCTGTACTGTATACATCCGTATATAAACATTTCCAGTAATGTTTACCTCACTTTCTTTGGTGTTCTGTGGACCCATTAATGTTTACCTCATGTTCTTTGGTGTTCTATGAACCCTTCAAATACAATGGAGGTAACTTTGTGCATGCATGTGCGTGTGCATTAGATCTTAAACCCCCCCCCCCCCCACGCATGCCTCCCCTGGGAGGCAGTGCCCCACTTCCACCCTGCGTGCAACCCCCCTACAGATTAAATATTTAAGTTTAAGATGTTCATAGCTACATTTATTTTTTCAGTCATGTGCAGGGTTTCTTTCAGGCATCTCTCCGAGAGGGGGCGGGGGGGGAGGGGGGGGGGTTGTCAAATAAAAACAACTAAATTGTCAATTTAAAACAGTTTTAAAAAGAATACAATCTGGCGCCTTTAACCAATTACGATTAGTTGAATCTATTAAATATTATTATGCTCGATATATTTGATAATCTGTATATTTAAGTCTAATCTTCTTCGCACTTATCAGTGTTTTTATTCATTAATTTTTTTCCAAATTCACACATTTAAATACTAATAACAGTGTATTAAAATACCTTTACATCAATATCAAGGACTACAATTCTAATAATACTTCTTGCCAAGTATCAAACATACGCAATCTATTTTCAAATTATATTTCATTATAAAACCATTACTTTTAAAGTAGAGATGGTGTTAATTATAAATTGTATGATGATATTAGGCTTTAAAAATTATTTTTATTAGCATGTATTCAATTCCATGAATGCTGAGTTATATAAAAAATGGAAACTTAAAAAATTTAAAGATAATTTTTTAAATTAAGAATTTAATGGATGCATCCAAATAGTTCGCATTTCATCAATTATTATATCGAAAGCATTTTTATTTTCTTTAAATGCGCTAAGTTTGTAATAAAGATTCCCAAATAACAGAGTTTAGACAAAAATAACTAGTCTATGTTTATTAAAATCCCAACTGCTTTTGTCTTTTTAAGATTCGAATAATAAACAAAATGCCCCATCTGTTGGCAAGGATTTTAAAAAATAAATACATTTTTTTTTGCAAGATGAGAATCTATTAGAAAGCATAAGAAAAGAAGATGAACTAGCATTTCGATTATCATTCAATTCCATTTTTTGGTGGTACTTGTTTTAGAATAAATTCTTATTCTAATTTGTCAATTTAAAATAAAACCCTGATATCTCGAACACAAAAGCTGCCAAATTTGCCACTTCATCTCAGTTATCTTGATCCCAATGACCAACCGCTAGCTTTTGAAAATTATATAAAACAGAAATGTGCCTACTTCAAACTGTAGTATTTGACATGAAATAATTTTTTTTAAAACCCAGAATCCGTATTTGAATAAACTGAACTGGCAAATACGGGGTGAGAGAAAATAAAAACTTGCGAATCCGGAGCTGAAAAATATTTAGCCTCACAAATCCAGAATTCCGAGATATTAAGGAAAAGTGCCACCCACACATACCTTGTGTTGTTATCAAACATGTATGTACATTTTTATAGCATGCCGATCGTTCATCAAACAAATCGTAGTAACGCTGTTGTGTAAAAATAATAATCCAAATCACATGCATGTACATTCTCATTTATAAATGAACATCGTGTACCGGTACATAAAGAAATTTCAAGCACATGTGAATATATTGCTGCCATATTGATTTTCGGTTATCTCGATCATCGGTTATCTCAAGTCTTTTTGGCAAACCCAGAGGCGTCGACATAACCGGGTTTGACTGTACTTTCTAAGCCCATTTTGGTGCCCCCTCTAGTCTGGCGCTCCAGGACGTATGTCAAATCTGACACCCTTTAGCCATGCCCCTGGCACTGCCCCCCCAACAAATCTGACCCCCCCCCCCCCCACGCATGCCTCCCCTGGGAGGCAGTGCCCCACTTCCACCCTGCGTGCAACCCCCCTACAGATTTTTTTTTCTTGGCAGGTCTGGAATTGAAAGCGTTAATTTTTTTTTTGTTGCCTAAATTAAACTTACATGTCGTAAATAATTAATTTTCAATTATTTTCCATTATTGTGAATTGAAATAATCTTACAGTTTTTTGTTGTTTTTTTCTGGCTGTAGTGTATGGCAGCATATAGACTGCATGGGTGTCGACAGAAATAATATCCCAGACAGCTATTTTTGTGAATTGTGTCAACCAAGAATTTTAGATGCCATAAAAGCTAAAGCTCTCCAAAAAAGAAAAAGAGAAGAATTAGCAGGTAAATGTGAGAATGTGGAGTTTATTTAAATTTTTTGTCTCATTATTTAAGTTGGATATCAGTGTTGTGTGCAATGTATATTTGTTCATGTACCTGTCTTTCTAATGACTAACACTATTAAACAGTATTTTTGCACATTTGAGGACCCTGATAAAAATGGATTTCCTGTATCTTACTAATTGTTCCTTCTAACCACACAAATAACTTTTTTGTCTTGTTTTTGTTGCAGCTCGCAATGTATTGTCAGATTCTAGTGCAACTGACACTGATCCAGAAGAAGCTGCCAATGCAATGGCATCAATGGGAAGAAAGCTACCTATTGGCAAGAAAAAAGGTTTAAAACACAAACGCAACACCAAGGTCAAAGATAAGCCATCAATAAAGCTTAAAATTGGCAAGGCACTTGCACAAAAAAATGTGAAAAAGCCAGGAAAGAAGGAGAAAGAGAATATTAAAGGACCAAAACCAAAAAAGGTATTTAATAATATTTAGATTACTAAGTATTTATCTCTTAAATTTTTTTTTCTCTAGTTATTTTTATACCTAATTTTATTTTGTTTCTTCTATTAGATGTTCAAGCAAAATCAGCAGAAGCTAAAATTAGTTAAAATGAAGAATAGACCTTTGTTAACATTGGAACAACTTAATGCAGACCCATGGAACAGTAATTTAAGGTAATTGTGATGTGACATTGAATATCACTGGCAAAATTTAAAGCTTTTATACTTTAAATAGCTTGAATCATAGATTTGATACTGACATACGGTAAGTGAATACAGTAATATCGAAATGAAAATATTTAAAACAATTAAACATTTTAAGTAGAATACTTAAGACCTTTTAAAATATCTAACTACTTCTCACTATTTCAGTCCATGGATTGATTCATATGAACATGCACATGAAAATCAGTACAGTCAAGCTGTCAAAGAATTTTCATGTAATTCACATTTAATTGGTCAATCTGTAAGTACAATAATGACTATTTCTAACTTACCTAGATAAGATTTTTGTATTTTTGATTGTGTACTTTTTATATGCATAAGGTGAAGAAACAATCGTGGACTTCAATTTAATTTTATAATTACACTTTTTTATGTTTTGATTAAAATTTTTCATAAAGCAACAGTTTGTATTATTTAACATTTATTCGACCATTGTTTTAATTGAATTGTTATTGCTAAATTTTTTTTTCACTTTAGGTGGACATTTCATCTATAATGCCTGACCATATGTTATCACAGCTTACATGTGTTGCCATTTCTGATGTCAAGAAAAACAGAAAGGTATATTTTATCTTTATTCTAAAGCACCAACAATCCAAACATATATTTATTTATCCGTGTAAGTTATCTGTGTTATAACTTGAGTCTAGTTTAATCCAAACTTTTTTAAAACTGTTTAGTCAAGCCTTTTAGAATACTTAAAAACCCTCTTCAGCAAACATAAAGCTTCCCTCTACCATAGAATGTACACTTTATGCCTTTTTTATCTGGAGGTTTTAAACTGATTAATGTGAAAAATACAAATTCTGTTAATTGCCTGATTTTTAATGGTTTTAATCTGCTTTATAGGGGTTGAAGGCTACACAAGAGATCCCTGCTGGTCAGGTGATTATTGAGTACAAGGGCAAGGTGATGCTGCGGCATGATTATGATAGAGAGTATTCCTTTGTAAATTCTTTTAAAAAGTGAGTGTCTTTACAGTATTTATTTTTTTTAAACACTTTAATCAGGTATTATTAATGATTAGTAAAAAAAAAATATGGTTTGATTTTTACGTGATTTTAATTTATGCAAAGAAGGCTACCTTTTTTTATTAATTACATTATTTATATATTTCAGATTGCAACCCTTTGTACTTTTTTATTCAAAATTGGATGTTGACCTCTGTGTTGATGCAAGGACTTTTGGAAATGAGGCACGTTTTATCAGAAGATCATGCACACCCAATTCAGAAGTATGTCCCACAGTTCATATTTTCTGGCTTTCAAATCATTAAAAACAAGCTTGATAAGATTAAAATGCAGATGCTATTTAATCAAAAACATGAGAAATCCTAAGTGTAAAAACCTGTGTATGTTTCTGCCATACATAACCATGAAAAAATTGGGTCATTTAACTAACATTTTCTTTTTTCTAATTTTCTTTTTAGGTTAAACATATATTTACCCAAGGAAAGGTCTATTTTGTAGTTGTCTCACAAAAAGATATAAATGTTGGTTCTGAAATCACGATTCCCTTTGACTACAATTTCCAAGAATGGTAAGGTTCTCTCTGTTGGATTATCATTTATTACTTACCTTAAATAAAATGATAATTAATATAAAACTGATTGTTAGCTCAAAAATTCAAATAACAAAAAATAATTCTTTTATCCTCCAGTTCTTACTGTGTAGAATGTGCCTGCATTAAAAATAATTGTGTTGTTTCAAGATTTTGGAAAAAAGTTAAAAATGCTCAAAGGTAAGTAATGAAATAAAATAATTTCTTGAAGAAAAGACGTTTGAAAACTACTATCCATGCCCTTAATTTAAAATGAGGTTCTGTAGTCAATCTCGGTTTGGTGGGCTAAATTAAATCTCCCCAATGATTCTCATTTCTTTTTCATCCACACACAAACCATGCAAATGTTTTTCCTCTTTGTTAAATACAAGTAATTGAACAGCAACTAAATTAGGATGAAACTGATATGATTGTTTATTTAGCTTCCTGTATTTTTTAAATGTTAAAACTTGATTTTGTATATGAAATTAATTTCACGATTACTGTACAATTTTCCTAACATATATTATATATTTCATTTATGATGCATTATACTGGTAATTAATATTTTTATCTCCAAGAAATATTGTCTCATGTATTCCTGATGCTTGAAATAAGCAAATTATCTTTTGTCCTTGACAAGGATAGAAATGAATGAAATTATGAATTTACACAAACAGTTTTTCTCTTTTAGGTCCTCATCTAAAGAATTTACAGTAAAGCGTAAAAAACTGTTATCTGGTGAAGTGGATGCAAATGCCTTATATGATGCCCCTAATTCCAGCTCATCCCAAGCTAGTCCAAGTAGAGTCTTGTCTTCACCAGTTAAAGCATTGCAAATGAAACTAGCAGCAGCTGTAAGCCCACCTCCAAGACTAAGTAGCCCGATTAAATTGTCTAATGTGTCTACACTGTTGGCTGCTTCTGCATTGTTAGATGAACAACCTGATATTGCATGCAGTCTTAAACTAGAAGTACCAGATTCATTACATGTAAGTTGTTGCAAAATTGAATTGCTTTTTTTTTTCTTCTTCTCATAATTAGACACTTAAATTAATTAAAGCTGAATGTTTCTATATTTACTACAATGGAAATAAAAGCTTTTTAATTTCTAAAAATGACTTTTTAATTGTGTGAGGTTTTTTGTGTGTGTGCGCGCATCAAAACCTTTAAAAAAATTTGTTGTAATGTTCAAATTTATTGTACAGCAAGCACCACCACCACCTGCGCCACCTCCTCCTATTCCAAAATCTGCAACCTCATCTAGACGAGCTAGTCGAGTATCTGAAGAAATAGTTAAAGAAGAAAAAGTAGAGGCAGTGGTACACACTCACACAAAAGAGAAACATTTAAAGGTTAAAGAGGTATGTGGGGTATTTTGGTAATAATTCTTACATGTAATGCAGAAGATCTGTAGTTATTTTAAGCAAATAAATGGCTAATTAGAAAGTTATCTATGCTTTTTAATTAATAACATTTATGGTAGGCACTTGATTTTTTTCTCTCCAGCCCAAGATAAAGGATAAAGACAAAGAGAGCAAAGACCATTATCACCACCACCCTGAAATTAAAAAAGAAAGACGTCCGTCTTCTCGGCGGCAGAGTCAGGATGAATTAGAAGATATTGCTGATCACAAGGGTGAAGCTTCAACAGCACCACCAGGAAACGAATCAGAGGATTCAAATACTGGATATGAGTGCCCAAGAAAAATGGTGAGGGCCAAGCCATATATGATACATGAAAGTAGTGTGTTGACCATTATTTTTACAACTATAATAGTGTTATGCCCAAATAATGTTAATTTATACCTTATTCTTATTTTGAAAAGACCAGAGAAGAAAGAAAGCTAGATGCCATAATGAAAGCCTTTGAGAAAATGGAAAAAAGGGAAGAGAGACGGAAAGAGGCTTTAGCAAGAGTAGACACAGTCACTAAAAAGTGTTCAGACATAAAGCCAAAAAAGGTAAGTGTATTGAAGTAACTTGTTGCAGTGAACATTTTCTAAATAAATTATTGTGAATATATTTAAATGTTGACAAAAATTGTTTCAAGCTTTATTTCAGCTCTGTTTTTTTCCCTCAGGAAAATGATGGTAATGGTAGCAATGGAAGTAATGTCCACTCTCGTTCTGCATCTCAAGATGCTCCAGTGGATGTGGATGTTAAAGTTGAAACATCTGTTGATGATCATCATGAGATAAAATCTCCAGAAATTAGTACGGAGACAAAGCCTGAAAGTCCGGCGGTTGGTACTCCACCTGTCAGTGGTGGCAATACAATGAGCTACTTTTCATCTGTAACCTCTGTAGCTTTACCAGAGATTCATAAAGCTGTTAAAGAAGAACTCACACATAAGCCCATGAGAAAAACTGGGAAGAGGAAAAGAAGGTTGGTTTTTTCCTATGTCAGTCACATAGTGAATTTTGCAGTGCATAATTAAACCTTCCAACTCAAATTATAGATTTCCTACTCTGATGATGGTCACAAATATTTTGACAAAAATATTTTTAAAATGCCGTCATAAAATCAAATGTATATTACATATAAGATTGAGCCATGTATAATAACACTTGGATTCTTAAAAACAGTGATAGTGATTTTGTTTTATTTTACAGAAATCAAATCTATTTAATATTCTCAGATTCTTAAAAACAATGATTGTGATTTTCAATTATTTTTTTGAATTTGAATCAATTTAAATATGAAAAAATGTATGTTCCTTTTATCAAGAAGTAAGATTTTTAATATTATTATTATTATTATAAAGTATAACTAAATTTAATATAGTGTAACAATTATTTTCTCTGTAGTAGAGGGACATGAAAAAAAGTTTATGTGGGCCTATATTATGTTGAGGGCATACATTTCTCAAAACCAAATTGTTTTAAAAAAAGGATCAAGGGTGTTGGAAATTTTTTTTTAAGCATATAAAATCTCAAAACCCTACACAGCTACATACGTAAAATTACTAGATTTTGAAACTTCGCAGTAGAAAGAAGCGCAATATGCCTTCCATTTTTATCCCGGTAAAACCGGATCATATCTCCTACTTCATTATTTTCCATAATGTATGGAGATTTGTAGGAGTAAGGGCATAGGCTCCTTTCCTGGTATTTTAGCTTCTTTTTTTTATTTTTAAAATTACAGAAGAAGTAGAATACAGAGTACAGCTGCCACATCAGATGCTGCATCTGTTTCAACTGATGAAGGAAATAGTAACAGCAGCTTCCCCCTTGCCTTGATGCCAGTGCCTCCTACCCCTGCTTCAGCACCTGTAAACACAACTTTACCATCTTTGGATAATGAAGGGGGAGTTTTCAAGTTCATAAAGACCAAGAAGGTTAATGATAATTTCAAAATTCCCCTATAAAGTTAATTAAATACTGTGCATTGGAATAAATGAAATCTTAATTTTGCCATAAATAAAATTTTAAACATCGATTTATAGCTAATCTTATGTTTGTGATTGTCTTTGTTTATTACCGTAATAACAATAAACTATTCTTCATTAGCACTTATTTGATGAGTGGTCTAATAAGCAAGAAGATGAGAGCAACAAACATGAAGAAGAGATGTTTGTCCAATGTTTACCCAATCCCCATGTTAACACAATGGACCACCTTCAAAGGAGAAACTCAAGTAGTGCTGGCTGTAACAGTAAAGGTTCTGAGACTAGCGCTGGATCTGCCAAAAAGGTATACTTGAATATTTGTACCAGGAAAACAAAACATTTTTATTTAGTTAGCTCAGAAGATTAAATATCTTTTTAAAATATATTGTAATTTTGTTTCTACTTACTTAAAAACTTATGTAGGATACTTTCAGCTTTAAGACATGACTTTTCAATTCAGTGTTTCAAGAAAGTAATACAATCAAATCTGTATGGAAAAAGTTGGTCTCCATTAATTCTTACTTGTATTAAATTTACAATACCAACCTTACAGCTTTGCATAAAACTGATAAATGAACATTTATCTCTTGATACCAGCCAATATTTTCATTTGTACCTGAATAACTCACTAAGATATACATAAATCTCACATATTCTCTATATATTTTCAATTTACCTTTTTTAAGGCAAGGAAATAATTTTAAAAAAATTGTTCTAATCATTTACAAGTAAAATTGCAGTAACTCTATTTTTATTGAACTTTCTGGGTTGTTTTGTGCCAAATGTTTGTACATTTACATAACTTAAATTTTATCCCATAAACTTTAAAATGGTTTAAATCTGTTCTATGCAATGGAATATTGTGTTGGATTTATACATACACTTAAAGTCTGATTGTCATGTTTATGTCTGGAGATATGTTAAACCGTAATTGTATTTCAGCGGTGGTTACGACAAGCTATGCATGAGGTTCCAGCTCCAATAGCATTTCATCATAGTTTGTCAGTTAGCACAGATAGCGGTGGAGCTTCTCCTATTCATGGAGGTTCAAGTCCTAACCCTGGAACCGCCTTAGGAAGCCCTGGAGCAGCATCACCACTTGGTGAGCATTGGAACTCAATAAATTAGTCATACTAAAAAAATTGAGGTGTCCATTTATCATGTTACAAGATAATTGAGAATAATTTTTTTTGTGTCTTAATATCTGTATTCTTTCTTTCATTACAATTCTTAAATTGAAAATAATAAAAACAACATGACTCCTTTTATTACTTTTATACGCAGATTTTGTGACACCCCTCAAAAAGCGACGATTAATGAGAGAGTCGTTATCTATTGAAAGCAATGGACCCATGCCGTCTCCAGGAGCAGGGGTCCTTGCAGAGAACTTCACCTCAAATAATATTGGTATAACATCAAAGACAAATGGAGTGAAGCAGATTTTCCCTACCCATCGTCACAGTGTAGATGATGTAAGAAGCCCACTTATCTCAGAAAACCAATGTAGCAATATAAATAGAGATTTTAATCATTGGCATTGAGGGAGGGACATATTGAAAGTTGTAAATAGAATGTATAAATGTGCCACATACTGTTTTTTATGGATATTGCTTTTGACTATGATTGTAAAGTGTGTGATGTGAAGAAAGTCAGATGGGTGCTAAGTCAGTTTGGGTGCTTGCTGCTTATCACAGTCATTTTGGGTGCTTGCTGTTTATCACAGATCTAATAGTATAAATAAAGTTTATTTATAAAATGAAATGAACTTAAACTTATAGCTTATTTATTAAATTCTGATTGCCAGTTCAAAAATCTTTTGTTAAAAAAATGTGCCAAATGTTAATAATTTTGCTGTGATTTTTATCATGTTAATCTTTGTGTTTTCAAATTTGGTTTTAATTATTTTCTTTTGTTCTGTTCTTTTCCTGTTGGGACCCCTGCAGAGGTTGTTGTTACACAAAGGCTACCCGCATCAGAATGGCATAAGAGAGGCAGGAGCACCAACTGAAGGGAAGAACCCAAGTCCAGCTTCTGCTACAAGTAACTCTCGATTCACTATTGCATCACCTGAGTACAATCATTTAGAACAACGTAATAGGAATCAGGATCAGGGACTTGAGCCTGTACCTCACCCTCTCTTGGACACACTACCAGTTACTGTGCCATTGCCATGGGTTAATGGTATTTCAGAAACAGTTCCTCTTTCATCATCATCATCAGCACCATTCACACAGCCAAGTGTAAAATTTCCTCCGAAATTTCGAGGTATTTTTGAAAGAATGGAGGTAGACAGCAGCGATGGCACAGAGAGAGAAATGAATCCAGTTGCTTCAACATCCAGAGTGGAAGGAAATGGCCTTCACTTTTTGTATAATGGGCTTGAAGAGGATAACAGAATTGACAGTTCAGCTTCAACTTCTACTGTTGTTGTTGTAAATAGTAGCAGTGTGTACAAAGGTGTAAATAATTTAATAGATGAAGGCAGTGAAGCTGGGTGTGTTACAGCTAAAACAATTATGGATGTGGATAGTCCAGCCACTGTTCGTATTGATCTCAATGCTCATGAGATGCCCACCTCTTTAACTGAAAGTACAGCAGTGGTTAACCTTAATGATAGGTTTTTCTGTAGAAATAGTCAGGACATGTTGCTGTTTAGTAATGCTGGTGAGTGTCAGGTCAACAGTTCAGAGGATGTTGTTGAAACTTCGCCTTTGGTCAGGGCAGGCCACACTAGTGAAATCTGTGATAATATTTGCACGGACTCTGTGAGTGCACAATTAAGTGGTTTGAGAGAGCGAGACTCGCAAAGGACTTTCAATGAAAACCATTTAGAGGAAGAGGCTGAAGCAGTGGATAGTTCTCAGCATGTAAATAGAAATAGTTTGGATGGAGAACAGAAACCTCCTAATTCTTCTCTGGCTCAAGATTTGCCACTCATGTCTACTTGCATGAGACTAGACGCTGAGTGTATTAGTTCAAGTGGGCAGACAGTCTCTGCATTGACTGATTCAGCTTTAGATGAAAGTAACCCTGTGTGTGATTCATTAAATGAATCTGAACAAGGCATTGTTGAGTCAGGGGATGTTAGCAGGCAGTGTGATTCTAATAGTGTTCATATGGAAGACAATGGTGTTCAAGAGGATGATAGTACAGATAATGAAGAAATCAGAACTTGTGACTCAATGGGAGTCAACTCTGCCTTCAGTCATCTCTCCAACAGTTCAGCTTATGATGGGCATGAAGCAGAGGAAGAACTAGGAGACACTGCTGTATCTGAGTCCCATTGCTTAGATCATCAATCTTTTTTTGCAAATATTGTAGATAATAATGTAGACTCAACCAGTTCTGAAGTACAAAGAGGTGGCCAAAAAGCTGCTTTTCAATCCTCTACCACAGTAGAGGCAGAAGCAGGGGAGGCAGCTGCAACAGATGGTGGCTGTTGTGACAGCAACTATGAACGTTTACCTGGTGAAAATTCTATCACTTTAGATGAATCTTCAACGGAAGGGCAGGGTGTTTCTTCATCCAATGGTATAGATTCACAGACAGGTAACACTTCATCATGGGAACTTTACAGGAGAAGAAAAGACCTACATATGGAAGCATTCCCTGACAATGCAGTGTCAACAGAAACTCATGATTACATTTCTGGAATATCACAGAGTACATCCAGTGCCCATGAAGGCACTGACTTGCCAGCTGCCCAGGAACAGATGGATGTGAGCTTAGAAGCCAGACCTTCATCATCAGTTTATACAGGGCTTAATACACCTCCTACATCAAACACTTTAACTGCCAGCAATCAAGCTCTCATTGGCTCTCAGGCTCCACGTTCTTTCACAATGTCACCGCCATCTTCATCGCACCTCTCATCTTCTTCTTCATCATCTTCATTGAGTGTTGAAGGTGCATTAAGTTCCACTTCTCCCAACGCATCTACAATTGCCCAACAAGCGAATCTGGCTCCTAGCTCCAATAGCACCTCCATAAATGGTTCATCTCCCATTTCCTCTACGGCAGAGGCAACACCAGCTGCTAAAAAGAAGGTAAAGTTTCATGCTAATTTGGCCCCTTGAAACAAAGAAATATAATTTTATTTTTCTTGTTATTTCTAACTTGCAAAAAAAGAAATTTTCTATTAAAATCAGTTTTATAGTTTACACATATTCTTAAAATTGAAAAGACAATAAAGAAGACAATTTCTTTATTAATTTAACAAGAAAAGTTGTCTTTAATACTCCATTAGTTAAACATTTGTGTGGGACAGGAAAGGGCTTTGTATGTCCATCCTTTTAAATATCAGTCTGTCATCATTACCCAATTTAATTTTAAAAAATTATTCAAAAGTACAAGTTTAAGCAGCTTAAGTTTCAGTGAAGAAAATAATTGTATAATATTTTATTAATTTCTTTATAAATAGATTGACAGACAAGATGAAAATTAGACCTAGATAAACAAATAAAACACCTATATTCTACATAATATACCAACAACTATGTTTAAACCTTAAAATGAATCTCATGGAGATATAATTTTAGTTTTTCCAAGTGTTCTTTTATTTGTCATTGAAACTTCCTGATTTATCTTACTGGATTGTTTGTCTGACAAATTATTTTAGATGTAAAACATTTTTGTGTTCTAATGTTGTTTATTGTAGAGATAAGTAGTGTGATTTGTATAACTGGGATGGCTTTTACTGGTATGGGGTTAATGTGGTGAATATAAAATTACTTTTCGAAACTGCTATTTTGGTCCTGAAATTGTTATGCCACAGAGTAAGATCTTTTCATCTTTATGCTGACGGCAACTTATTTTCATTGCAAGCAGAAACGAGCAGGACAGACAAGGAATCACTGGTGGTATGTTTCTAGATTAATGGCACTATCAACTGTGGCGCCCAAACATTAGTCGTAAGGAAAACCAAATTTTAAGAAAGCTAGGATGTATGGTAATTGGGAAACACTTATGTCAAAGTAAATATTTTAAAAAAAAGTTATTTAACCAACCCCCAACATTTCTTCCACCACAGGTCAGTCTTCTAGAGTATCGTAAACGTTTAAAGGAAAAACCAGCCTCTTCTTGTACAGAAACAAAGTCCTCAGAAAGTACAGGTTTATCTCCTTCTTCAACATTAACACATCACCATAAGCTTTCTTCGACGTTGACACAGTTTTTAGCATCCTCATCACCTCCAGCATCATCAACATCACCTTCCAAATCGTCATCAAGTCAGTCCCAAAAGAAACAACGTATGCCTACACTTGCAACTCTTCCACTTTTTCAGTCAGCTGATCTCAAGAAAGGTAATTATATATGTTTTAAATTTAGTCATTTAATTTCCCTTATTTTGTGATATTTAATCTGATTTCCGATTATGTCAGTGAAATTGTGTTTAGATCTCTTGAAAGCCTAAACAATGATTTATACATTTAATTCCATTTTTTATATATTATTTAGATGAAAAGAAAAAAGCCAAACCAAAACCTGAAAAACAATTAAGTCTCACAGAGCGTCTGCGTTTAGAGTTTGGCCTTGAAGACTGTGGAGATGAGCAAAATAAAAAACGAAAAGGTAACCTACTACAGTGGTCCTCAACCCTGTTGATAGGTGCTTGAACACCCATCAGCCTCTCAATATGTCCACCATGTATATTTGTTTAGCACCTGATGTGATATGGATACTTGTTCAAATTTTTTTGTGAAGAATGCTCATGTTTTTCATTTCTTTTGAGCTAATAGTGTTTAATATTTAATTTGTCACATGATCTAAAAAAAATGTTAACTTATTTTTTGCTGGAGTGAGGTTTTGCACTTGACCAAGAAATCCATATATCTTTTACCATTTCCAAAGTGTGTTCTTTTAATCACAATTTCAAAAGTAATGTTTCCGATATTACTTTTCAAGAGTTTTTCTTTATTTTACCATTTAATCTTGATGATTCTGCTGTTATAAAAATGTTTTTTAAATGGCTTGTGCTTTCAGCTGAGGAAGCAGAGGTTGCTTCTTCAATTGAAACAGTTGATGACTCTGTGCCTCCCCCTCCACCTCCTCCACCTCCAACATTGTCATCAGCTTATCCCCAGACGTCCTCGGCTGCATTTCTTGTGGCATCTTCAACACATCCTAGAGCTGGATTTCACAGTATATAGAATTTTATTTATTTTGAAATTTAATAAATTTTTAAAATGATATTACACTTTAGAAGTCTTAAATAAGGTCCAGTGATACTGTAACTGAAATGAAGAAATATAGTGACTTTATTACTTGTCCAGTTTGAGTGAAGCATGATATAGATTTTTGTCGACTTCGTCTCATTTCTTTTTTTTTTTTGTTGAAAAAATCCATTATAAGTTATAAGCATCCTATTTTAAATATGAATTAACATCTTATATACATATGATGCCTTTATTTTCCAGCAGTTCAACCAACCACATTGGTAAATGGAGTCTCAGGTACAAACTACAACTACCATCAACAGTCCAACATTTCGTCAACATCATTATCCACCCCCCCTCCAGGGACATCACAACAAACATTGAGAGACAGAGATGCATTAAGCTATCCAGCCCCAAGTTTGCTGACGGGATCCCTTTCAAGCCACACAGTCCCATACCTGCAGCAGCCATCATTGTCATCTTCTCACTTAAATGTTCAACATCCGCTCACATGGACTGCAAGTCAAGGGTCCATTGCAGCACCCCAGCCACAAACATCAACGAATCACCATTCACCATATGAATTCAATCACCACAGACAGCTTGCACAGTCGCAGACAGTTGTCAGTGGAAGTACTGTTTCAGAAGATCCTCCACCTCCGCCACCTCCCAGACCTCATCACCGTCCATCATCTACTTCATCATCACAAAGACATGGTCATATTCAAAGCTCGAGTGGAAAGAGCAGCAAGGCAGCAGCATCATCTTCATCATCTCATTACCCAGACAATAGGAGCAAATATTAAATTGCTGAAAGCAGTGTTTTCCAAACTCAATGAAACTATACCCTTTATTAATAATAATTTTATTGATGGCCATTTCTTCTTCTCCTCCCCCTTTCCCAAGTTATTGTGTCCCCCAATTTAGTTTGGAACCACTGGCTTAAATGGTTGTAAATTTTGTATATTTGAATTTTTTAAAATAAATATAGAAATAGCCTTAAAGCAGTTCTTTTCATCCAAAGCCTTTGATTTTCTTCATTATTAGAAATGAAACAATTAACTTTGACATTTCTATTTGTTTTAAATATATCCAGTGACACAACAGTTACTTCAAAGCTGCTTACTCAGTACTGACATAGGAAGTGCAATGCATTTAGATTTGTGTATTTTGACTTTTGTTTTTCAAGCCATTAAAGTACAGTTTTACTTTTCAATATGAATGGGACACAAGTTCTGGGCATCAATGAATTTATTTACCACACTGCTACAACTACTACTTGTGCCAATTTCATTTGTTAGTAGCTCTTTTCGGTATGCATTTCCAGTCTTAAGTTCATTTTGTTTTCTTCCTCTTTATGTTAGTAGGTTTAAAAAAACCAAAAATAACTCACTATTTTCTTTGGTATCCTACATGTTTTGTATTAAATATGTTTGAGTATATTGTACTTATGTAGTGATTTCTTTTTTTTTTTTAATGTTGCACTTAAAAGCAGTGATTTGTACATGAAAACAAGCTTTTGCTACCTATATGTTAATTTCCCATTTACTTTATTATTTTTCTGAAAACATGTTAATTGCTTATTCTCTGTTTTATTCTCAAGAATACTGCCAGCTGCTATTTTTTTTAGAGACTGCCATTCTTGTCTTTGGCACCTTTAACTTGTATCAACTTTCAGTTTGTATCTGGTTGAGGTCTTCTTTCATTTAATATGTATACAAAATTAAAAGAAAAGTGTTGAGAGCCTTATTGATCTATATTGATTTTACTTTTTTTTTTTTTGAACTGAACAATTTGAACCCCTTAGCAGTTTTTATTCCAATTTAGGTCAAGTTCATATTTTTTTAAAATCAAGAATATCTTGTTAAGTTGTTATGACTGTGATCTTTATGGAGCATAGACAATGTTTGCTTGTATCTATTATATTTTTAAAGATAATATAGAGAAGTTAAATTTACATAATACTAACCAGCACATGAATAAAATTGTGGAAAAGATCAACAAAAACTGTTTGTATGAAACAAAAAAAACTTTGTACAAATGTATTTGAATGTAATTAAAATACATTGACAGGAAGCAGTCACCTGTTTTCATGCACTGTATTAAATTTAACTGTACAGGAAGGCCTGTGAGTGAAATATACTTCAAACTTCAAGCATTGTGTAATGCACATATGTGACTTGCTAGGTATCATATCATTTAATTACAATTAAAGAGAAATTTTATATAAACTAGAAGGTTCATACAAACAATTTTCATTTGTTAGTCTCAATAATTTAACATAAAATTGACATAAGAGGGGTTCATTATCTTAACTGGAGAAGAAAACTCATCTTTGAAATTATCTCTCTTCACTTTAGTTTGCCTTGTGTGATTACTTGGCCATCCTTGAGTTAGATACTGATACAGAAACAAAATTGCACTGACCCACAATGAGAATAATCAATAAACAATTCATTTCAACCAACTATTTTACAGCTGTTTTACCATAAAACATGTTAATTGCCTTCATGCTTTTAAAAAAAAATGAATCATCAGATGCTTTTGTTGGTATTACTGTATTTGCATTCATTAACTTAAGTGTGTAAGGACAAATTGCGTGTGTAGCAAAAAATGGACCAACACAATGTTGAATATTTTAAGTAAAGGGTTGCATTTGAAGTTATATAGATTGGAGGATCTCACAGATGTTCTGAATCTTCCTCTCATGATGATATTTTATGTTTCTTTTTTATGTGGATTCCCAAACATTTGAATTGTCTATCATAACAATGACTTCTAATGTAATACTAATAAGCAGGAGTTTATTTCGCCATCTGTCAAATACAGCTTCAGTCATAATTTTCTTTTTTAGTTGTTTTTTTTTTGGATTAGAATCAGATCACAAACTAGCAAGAGACTAACCATCAACAGTTGACTTGACACAATAATCAAGATAGCATTTTCAATAATAGAGAAATGTGTGATAACTGACAGCAGTGTATTCAGAGATAGAAGTACTGGGGTGATGGTCACAGTTTACAACTATCTTTAGAAGCGGGATTAAATTTTATTTAAAAAGCTACTATTCTGCTCTAATGGAAATTAGTATTAAAATAAAACTTAACTTTGTTAAATAGAGATAACTAATGATAGCTGTGATAGATGTTTAATTGGTTCACTCGACTACTGATAAAGTGCAATACTCTTTGGGTAGAGATTAAATCTCTTAGGACCCTGGCCATGAAACACGGCCTAGCAGTCCCTAAGGACTCCAGCCATGGAACACGGTCACGAGTAGGGGGGCAGGTAGCTTCCACTCATTGAGGAGGAGACTTTGAATTGCCTCCCCCCTTGCCCATTGAGTCATTCGGACGGGACGTTGGGTTGAACGGCTTTGCTTGCTCTCCGGAGATGGTGTTGCATTACCTCTCCCCACCGCACAGGGAGTTGTACAGTCTAGTGCGAATCGGCTTTTCTTCCTCTCCATGGGTGGTCTTGAGTGTAACCTCCTCCCACCATCTAGGGAGTTGTTCGGTCTATGGGTCGGAACAGCTTTGCTTCCTCTCCGGGGAGGTGTTGCGTTACCTCTCCCCACCATCCAGGGAGCAGTTCGGTCGGGACTAAATCGGGACGAAACGGTCACCTAGATGCGACTTTCTCAAGGCCGCATGTTTTTAATCCCCGGCAAGGGTTTGCTTCAAACCATGACTCATATCCATTATCGGCGACACATAATCATGTTAGCGCGCAACTTCCGTTGCGCTGGAAGTCATGCGTTTGGCCGGGATTTTTTAGCTTCAGGAGGAAACCTCCCTACTGGTCCGTCGCGCCGTGAAGAGGCAAAATCCCATGTAACACCACAGAGAGCCTAGTGGTGCTGAGCTTCGACCTCACAGTGTTCGGTCTCCGCCCGACGGTCACTCAACTGCTAAGATTGTTGGTTCTGTTGGCTTGGCACATGAAACTAGGGAGTACAAGTACAATAAAATAAGAGTTTATGAACTTGACAATGAAATGGTTCATCTTAAATTGCATAAAGCTTTAGCAAACAAGTTTTTTAAAGTTCTATCAACATAGTATGGCTAAGCAATAAAAACTTGGGGAAAAAAGCACCTCTAGGAATCCAAAGTATTTTTCTGTAATCTATAAAAATCGTCAATATTTTCATTTGTTTTGAATTTATTTTTTAGTGCCACAAAGTTGACCAACTATATATTTCTTTCAAAGGGTTTCCTTTTTAAATGGTATGTACAGATATTCTGTTTCAAATGCTAAAAATATCTCATCTACTTTATTATATATCAAACACCCAACAGTCTTAAGATGTTTGCTTTCTGTAAATATTTAATTGTATGAGTACTGATATGATGTTTTGTAATATTTGTTTTTTTTTTAAATGATAGTCTTGTACTTGTATAAAATAAAGGGTCCTTTGACAGTGTCATGTCCCATTATTTAACAATTTAAAATATGTTGAAGTAGGCAAACATTAAAAAAAAAAAAAATGAAAGTTTATGAGTAGACAAACACGTGATACTTTCCCATCCAGTTGTAGCATTTGTAATGCCCTACGTATACCCAGTATTTATAATGTAGACAGTAAAATACACTGAACTGTCTTATTTACTATATTACACTATATTAGTTATGGCATATAACACTACACCATCTCCTCAAGGTTCTTATTGTGGCAACTGGAGATTATTGTTTCTTGTTAGTTTTCAAGAGTTACTGGAAAAGGACCTGACTGTATTCTTTTGTAAATATACTTTCGCTCAAGTACTAGCAGCAATGTTGTTCACTACATACAGACATAAATGATCAATATTTAAAAATAAAACAGGAAGCTAGAATTACAAGAGTTGCAATTGTCAATAAAGAGGCTCTCTTAGTCCCATTGATTTTAGAAAGGGAAGGGTGGGCAATGTTGTGTAAATATTACATATGCTTGTAACGAGTCACACTGAATAAGTACAATTCTAATATCTGGACTCGTCACCAGGTAGAGACTCAACTTGGATCAAAAGAATTATGCTTATTTTGTCATGTGAGCTAGTGTGTTACTGTCCGAAATTAAGGAATTGCTTACATGCTCTAGTGTTCAACAAATGGTTTTAAAATATAATAAAATGCATTTGAAATTATCCGTCAGGTGTTTAAGTTATTGTATTGTTTGTCTTAAATCCCCTGTACTATTACCATATATAAATATAATAAAATACCGGGTAATTGAAATTCAAAAATATTAAACTTGATAGAAAAATAAGGTAACTACAGATTTTAAAATTAAGTTATGACGGCAAAACTTTCCACTATGTTGAAGTTCTCTTTTGAACATCTTTTCTTAAAAATTGTCCAGGAAAATTCACTTTTTAAAATGTATGTTTCACATTGGCTACCGTATCCATAACATGTACAAATAAAGGATGCCGAAAGAAGTGCAAACTGAATTTTTAAACACAGAAGAGTGCAGTCAACAAATATAGTATGATTAAACTTTATTTTTCCAACAGAAGAAACATATATTAAAATCCATCTCGATCTTTTGGTTTATATTTAATCATTTCTGTTTTCTTTTCATGACGTTTTCTGTTGAAATAAAAAGAAAGAATACCGGTACATTTAAATAGTCTCTTCAGAAGATAAAAATTGTAATTAAGACAGTGATAATCAAAATAATATACTGGTAGCTTTAAATTTCTTTCAGGGATGCACTGTTGACCATTTCACTACTGAAAGTAAAAAATATGGTTTTTGTGTAATTTAAAATGCTAATTCCAAATATGAAGTCAAAATCGGCGTAGCATGTCTAGATTAAGTTATGCATATATTCAAGAAATTTATATATAAGTAATAAAATGGCAGGGGTTTTGAGTACTGCGACATGCGCCTTAAGCATATTATGTTCGGTAGAGCGCAAAACATGCAGTGGTTTTTGTAAAAAATATCAATTTAAAAAATTATACAGATTTATACACCTAATCAAACAAACTATTTTTAGTACCATAGTCTTTGGGCTATAACTTTTAAAAATATTGAAAATGCAAATGAGAAAAAATGGCAGAAAGTGTCAGTTATATTGCGTATGTGCGTCTTCATAATAACATTGAGACCTCGGAAGCCAAAGTTTTCCATGGACTCAACATGCCCCACTCAGTCATGTCGTAATATAGATACATATTATATAATGGAAATTGATTTCTGTCTCTGTACCGATGCGATGGGCTCATGATGAAATCAGGTTGTGAACAGTGGAGACTTTATTGACTCCAGCAAGGTAAGCTTGAAAGCACAAGGGTATAGCAAAATAGTATCTGCCTATAATAACTCATGCTGTAGGTATTAGAATGACATGTCATTCAATGAAACTCATTTAAAATGTTTAACAATTCAGTACACAACTAATACTTCTGTGCTGACCTTAATGTGGTAGAAAATATTCTAGGATTTCATCTTGGGGTACTGTGTACAAAAAAACGTTTGTGCTTTTTTTTTTTTTGTTAGTGGAACAGTCATGACAGTAACCATTACAAATCAACAAAGCAAAAAAAAAGTGACCTTCCTAGATCTGAGCACATTGTTGGTCAGCACAAGAATCATTGGTTGATTCATTGAAAGTGCACTTAACACCACTTCAAATTAAACTGAACAACAGCAATGGATCTTAAACTTAATGAACAAATTTTCCAGATTCTGAAAGAGAAATTTGGAGCAATCAAAACTGATGCTTAGCTGAAAGCTGGAACCTTTATTAGGCCAGAAGTCTGCAAACTGATGTGTGATGATTTATTTAAAACTAAGCTGAACCCACTTGAACTTGCTGCTTGTACATTGGTGGTGCAAAAAATTCTTGTACATCACCGAGCTCAGAACTATGTTAACAGCCAACAACAAGCAACTTAGCTCCTGATGTCCCTAAAATGCATTTATTACATACATCCTCATCTGGATTTTTTACCACCAAACTTGGTTGATGAAAACGAACATGGAGAATGTAAAATTTCTTACGGTATAGGAAACAGGTTAACGGTATGTTTTTATTTAAATTTCAAGTTATAAATTAATAAATAACATTTTGTTAATTTTAAAAGTACAATCACATAGTTATATAAGCAAATACTAGTTCTGTAATTTTTTTTGCATAATACGTAATTTAATTTTTACATGAAGCTGCATTACTTAAAATCCTGACATGCTGCATAACTTACACTTAAAATCATGACATGCTGCATAACTAAAAATCCTGACATGCTACAAAAATTCCAACTTCAGATTTGGAATCAGCACAGCACACTCGATTGACTTTGATAGATTCCAGTAGCAGATAAAAAAGTATTTTTTCTTTTCCAATACAAACTCTCGCTTTTATAAAAATGAGCCCATTCCCTAAGGTTGCGACTAAATGTGTCATTTGAGGGTTCCGACGATGTGTCTTGGCGCATAGCAACACACCTCTCTCATTTTTATTATAAAATAGCAACAAAATCTCGCATCAATCAAGACTTCCAGTATGGCATGATTCTGCTTGATTTCAAATAAATAATTTGCTTCCCTTTCAATCTATATGTGCTTTAGTACGGTGTTCTATATATAGCATGTGATCATCCAGGTGACAAAAAATAGATTTTTTTGGTCATAGCTTGTTATTTGTTCTCCTTTATGTTATATATATATATATTTTTATGGTTAATTCATTTCTGGATGCATTTAGCCTCAATTTATTAATATTAATTAATATTTAGCAGCTTAAAATTTTCTTTTTTTATAAATGTGCATCCATTGCTAAACCGATTTACCTTCCTTCACAAGGAACATAAAGTAGGTACCGAAATAGAAATGTCGTCGGGAATGAGTTAATAAGACAACAAAAACATAAGCATATATTACACGACTCACTTCCTATAAAACTGATGTTTTGAAGTGTAGAACATCTGTGAAAGTTCATTCACTGTAGGACCATCTGGATTATGTTTTAATTTTTCATCCAATAGGTATTGAACTTTTAAAACAGAATCACCCTGAAAGAGATTTTTAATTTTAAAAATAAAAGGATGTGCATGTAATGTGCTGTGAAGCAAACCAAATATTTAAGTTTAAGATGTTCATAGCTACATTTATTTTTTCAGTCATGTGCAGGGTTTCTTTCAGGCATCTCTCCGAGAGGGGGCGGGGGGGGAGGGGGGGGGGGGTTGTCAAATAAAAACAACTAAATTGTCAATTTAAAACAGTTTTAAAAAGAATACAATCTGGCGCCTTTAACCAATTACGATTAGTTGAATCAATTAAATATTATTATGCTCGATATATTTGATAATCTGTATATTTAAGTCTAATCTTCTTCGCACTTATCAGTGTTTTTATTCATTAATTTTTTTCCAAATTCACACATTTAAATACTAATAACAGTGTATTAAAATACCTTTACATCAATATCAAGGACTACAATTCTAATAATACTTCTTGCCAAGTATCAAACATACGCAATCTATTTTCAAATTATATTTCATTATAAAACCATTACTTTTAAAGTAGAGATGGTGTTAATTATAAATTGTATGATGATATTAGGCTTTAAAAATTATTTTTATTAGCATGTATTCAATTCCATGAATGCTGAGTTATATAAAAAATGGAAACTTAAAAAATTTAAAGATAATTTTTTAAATTAAGAATTTAATGGATGCATCCAAATAGTTCGCATTTCATCAATTATTATATCGAAAGCATTTTTATTTTCTTTAAATGCGCTAAGTTTGTAATAAAGATTCCCAAATAACAGAGTTTAGACAAAAATAACTAGTCTATGTTTATTAAAATCCCAACTGCTTTTGTCTTTTTAAGATTCGAATAATAAACAAAATGCCCCATCTGTTGGCAAGGATTTTAAAAAATAAATACATTTTTTTTTGCAAGATGAGAATCTATTAGAAAGCATAAGAAAAGAAGATGAACTAGCATTTCGATTATCATTCAATTCCATTTTTTGGTGGTACTTGTTTTAGAATAAATTCTTATTCTAATTTGTCAATTTAAAATAAAACCCTGATATCTCGAACACAAAAGCTGCCAAATTTGCCACTTCATCTCAGTTATCTTGATCCCAATGACCAACCGCTAGCTTTTGAAAATTATATAAAACAGAAATGTGCCTACTTCAAACTGTAGTATTTGACATGAAATAATTTTTTTTAAAACCCAGAATCCGTATTTGAATAAACTGAACTGGCAAATACGGGGTGAGAGAAAATAAAAACTTGCGAATCCGGAGCTGAAAAATATTTAGCCTCACAAATCCAGAATTCCGAGATATTAAGGAAAAGTGCCACCCACACATACCTTGTGTTGTTATCAAACATGTATGTACATTTTTATAGCATGCCGATCGTTCATCAAACAAATCGTAGTAACGCTGTTGTGTAAAAATAATAATCCAAATCACATGCATGTACATTCTCATTTATAAATGAACATCGTGTACCGGTACATAAAGAAATTTCAAGCACATGTGAATATATTGCTGCCATATTGNAAAAAAATCTGACCCCCCCCCCCCCGGAAAAATGTCTGAAAGATACACTGGACTCATGTGATGCACTTTAAAACAATGTCTTTTACCTATACTAAATATAAATTAATGTTTAATGACTGGCTTCATCTGTAACATACAATCAAGCCATACCCAGTTCTCACAGAAAGATGATTTAAATTTCAAAATAATATGAGTACTTAAAATAAGAATTATTTACTTGTAAATAGAATTAAAAAGTACTGTATCTGTACAGGTGTATCAGTATCAGACAATGAATGTTATGATGTTAACATATTTGATGAAAATAGGAAATCTTTAACTGAAGGTAAATACAAGTAATTTAAATTCCTACCACTTCCAGCTCTTTTTTATCCCGAGGTAGAGGCTGTAAAAAAAAAAAAAGAATGACTAATTCCTTTAAACCTGCAATTAATTTTCAAGCAACAGACATTTTCCTTCTTTCTGAAAAAAATATCATAATTAGTCACTTAAACATAAAACTATTCAAGACCTCTTTACAAATTTCATCAATGATTATAAACAACATTAGATATTGCTGATTGTAATTAAAAATTAAAGGC